TGATCAAGAACGGTTTTTCAATTCTATGGTTTCGGTTTGGGTTTTATAAACGGTTTTTTAAAGGCCTCGGGTTTCAGTTATGGTTTTTTAACCGGTGTTTTAAAGCTTTTGGTGTCGGTTCCGGTTCCGGTGTTCAATAATGAAAAAACCGCGGTTCTAACCGGTTTTAACCGGTTTTTCAAAAACCGGTTTAGATCCCTGCCTTCAGCTGTTGGAACTTCCTTCGGTTCCGTGCCAGCTGTGCCTCTGTCCTGACCTTCACCGCTGGTGGGGTTGGTGCCCCTGATGACCCGGGTACCGGTGACGGCTCCACAGGCGTTATGGGGGCAGGTGTCACGGGGGCGGTGGTTGTTGCTGCTGGTGATGGCCTTGTCAGGGACGGTGTGCGTCTGCCGGGTGTTGGCGTCGACGGTGGTCGTTGCGGCCGCAACCTCCGCTGGATGTCTGCTGTACGGTCCGCCCAGCCCCGGTTGTAAATGGCCGCCCGCACTGGGTCCTGCAGGAGTTGGCGGGTCGTCATTCTGGCGACCTGGGCGGCTGTTCGCGGCTCATCCTGGCCACTGGNGCCCGCACTGGGTCCTGCAGGAGTTGGCGGGTCGTCATTCTGGCGACCTGGGCGGCGGTTCGCGGCTCATCCTGGCCACTGGATACCAGCCCCAACCGCTGGATCAGCTCGGCAACCTGCTGCCACTTTTCGTGCTGTTGGCCGGCCATGTTGTCTATAAATGATTGTTATTACGGACACGAGGACTCCCGGGTTTGGTGCCTTGCGGCTACAACCGCGGACCTCATGTTAGCGCTGTGCGCTAGTCGAGAGCCGCGGAGGTTCACGGTCGGCGTGCGTCGGAGATCCGTCCGCACGTCGGCCGCGCGTCGTCTATGGACCACGAGCACCGGGCGTGATCCCGTTCCCATCGAAGTCGGGAGAGACCACGCTCGTACCATTTGGCTAAGGCGTGCACGTGCCTTTTGCCACCCTGGTAGGATCGCGAGCTATCCTCATCGCTTCCCGTGTTTGGTCACGAGCAACCTCCGGTGCATATAGCTCCACCGGTAAGCTGGGTGGGCGCTAAGGAGCAAGCTCACTCGGCAGCTTTCCCCTAGACCAAGCTTGATCTGTTAACCACACAGTTAGCTCCTGCTAACAGCCACTCCGAAACCAATCCGCCACCGACCGTACACCGACCGGAGCCGATGTACGACCGGCGTGTGTGGGCACGTCGCCAATTTCTCGACGCCGCGGGGCTCCCCCACATCCCGAAGTACCATTCTCGCTCCCGATGCGGTAAGCACATCAATGGTGGGATGGCCGGACCGAGCTTCGTCGGCTGGTGGGCCTCAGCTGTGGTCCTCCCGAGGTTTGGGCCGTGTACCGCGGGCTCACGGTGGGCCCTCACCGGGCGGCGATCGCTGCCGGCGCGGTGGCCGCGACCCCCAAGTTAGAGGCTCGGTAGCCTTTGGCCACGCCTCCCGGAGGCTTCTCCGAGGAGAACGACCCGCTCTTCACGAGGTCGCGGTCAGAACCTCTACGACACCCTAGTCCCCGAAGGTTTCGGTGCGTCCGCCTCCCCGAGGCCTCCCCGAAGAGAGCGACCCGCTCTGCATGAGGTCGCGGTCAGAACCTCTACGACACCCTAGTCCCCGAAGGTTTCGGTGCGTCCGCCTCCCCGAGGCCTCCCCGAAGAGAGCGACCCGCTCTGCATGAGGTCGCGGTCAGAACCTCTGCGACGCCCTAGTCCCCAAAGGTTTCGGTGCGTCCGCGCCCCAGGCGCCGGCCCCGACTGGCCAATTCCCTTTTAGTCGCCTTTTACGACAAGCAGGGAGTACTGTGGCGGTATTCTGTCCTCGGCCCCAGCCACAGGGCCCTGGCTCCTCGTCTACTCCTGACGTGTGAGCACGCCCCAGGTCAGGACGCGCTCGTGCGTGACCCGCCGCTTGTGCCTCTTTCGCCATGCGTGCTCACCCGGGTCACCCCGAGTCTTTGCACTTACACCAACTGGCGTGGCTGCGTCCTGACCTATAATAGGTCCTACCTATCCGTCCTGCCCCGAAGGCTGTTTCTGCTATACTTTCTTAGGGCGTCGTATGTTTTCCTTGACTGGAGGAAGGATCCACGTTCGGGCGGCCATGGAGCGCCCTCTTCCCTCATGGTCGCAATCAACTCTTGTCTTTGGTGAGCCGTTCGTGTACATGCCAGCAGGACATGCTGTACTGTTTCCGCGCCATTTCCACACGCGCAATTTGGACTTTGTACAAGCCGGAAGGAGTACAATCTCGAGTTGAAATCCCCATGTCCGGTCAAAAACTGGGACGTGTAATGGTCCAGTTCTAGGGGGAGTGCCATTCTTCTGGCCAGGTCCGGTATCATGAACTTCGTCCATTCACCCTTGTCCGTGGTGTCGTACCGAACCTGCCATTCTTCTATTAACTGTTTTGCGCCTGTATCGTACTCCCTTTCGGAGATCTCGCCCGTTTTCTGCTTTCGCCTCATCGCTATCCTCCTGACCTCCAGGTCGAGTGGCAGTACGCCAGCTACAGCCGAGAGGCAGTTGGTCGACGCCGTCCTGTAGCAACTTGTTATTGCCAAAAGCGGAGGTCTTTGTATACTACATAGCGTTTTTATACATTTCCTGAGGCGGCACCCTTCTGACCATGCTTCCGCTGCGTACGTAACACGCGGTAGGAATACCGCCTCATAAATTATTTTTGCTGCCACCCGGCCCATGCCCCAGTTTGCCGACGTAATCCTTCTTAGGCGCGTATACAGGTCTTCGCTCTTGGTCTTGAGGGACTCTATGTGACTCACGTAACTCTGCCGCGGGTCGAGTACCACCCCGAGATACTTGACAGTTGCACTTGCCTTGATATCCGTATTTTCGCAATTAGTGCCAAATCTGACTCTGTACAATGGCTTTAGGCCGCCTTTGATCGACATCAACTGGCTCTTTCCAGGAGAGAAACTGAGACCATACAGGGTAGCCCAGCTCTTTAGGCCCTCAAGGTAGGTCTCCGCCCTGGCGAACGCAGTCTCCGGTCTAGCTGCACCGACAAGCAGCGCTATGTCATCCGCATACATTATGATCGAAGCCGTAGGGTTTAACCTGATATTGCCAATGCCTGTCATGGCTACTTTCCAAAGGGTGGGACCGAGTTGTGACCCTTGTGGGCACCCTCGTTCCAGCGTTCTGTGGTGGAGAAGGCCTTCCAGGTTGTAGGTTACCTTCCTGTTCTCCAGGTAACTATTTATTATCTTCACGGTGCGTAGGGAGGCGCCCATGTCCACCAGTCTGTCAATAATTGGAGCCCACCCCACATTGTCAAAGGCACCGGTAATATCTAGAAAAACGCCAAAGACGTGACGGCTTTTGGATCTGTGCGTCCAGTCATATAGCTGCCTTATAGCCGTTATGGTTGATTTTCCTGGTACAAAACCGTGTTGAGGTGCAAAATCATTCAACATTGTCTCGCGTTCAATGTCCTGAATAATGATGGTCTCTAGTGCTTTGGCTAAAACGGGTAGCAGGCTGATGGGCCTGTAAGACTTGGGGTTGGTCAGATCCTTTTTGCCAGGCTTAGGTATTATGACCAACTTTGCCACACGCCATGTGCTAGGGAAGACGGCCTCATCAACGCAATTACTGAAGAGCACCGTTATGTCGTTTCCTAGTATGGGCCACGCTTTTCTCAGGATGGCTGCGGTAATGCCATCTGGGCCCGGGGCTTTTGTCGGCCGCATCCGCCATATTGCCGCCTTGACTCGTTCTGAGTCAACGCTCCTTGTATATTTGTCAAGGGGACCCTCCCTTATGATGTTACTAGGTACAACTTCGCTAGGGAAGAAGGTCTCGAGAAGAAGCTCAGCGGTTTCGTTCAATGTACAAGTAAGAGTTCCATCTCCGCGGTTCAGCGTGACTGGTGTCGTGCGGGACTTGGAGCCGTTCTTAGCCCATTTAAAGGTTTTGCCCCATATATTGCTGTTTATGTCACCCGCGAAGGAGCGCCATGCGGCCATTTTCGCCCTTCTGATCTCATTCAGATACCTGTTGCGAACTGCAGCATAAGCCGGTCTGTCGTTTCTATGGAGCCCAGATCTCCTGCATCTGTTAAGGCAACTTTTTAGGTCACTGAGCGTGTCGTTCCACCATGGTTGCCTGCCTCTGTGGCTTGGTCTGCGGGCCCCTCCGCAGGGCATGGATTCACCGGCCGCAGCTTGTAGCGCTAATACTAGAGTTGCTGCGTGGGACTCTATGGATGTCCTATTAATGCTCGCCATGTGTCGTAGTAGGCTTTGCGTAAATTTGCCCCAGTCCGCCTTCCGGACATTAAAGCGGTTAGTGCGGGGTATTGCCTGTTGACCATTCTTTTTGACTCGTACAGTGTACAGCAGGGCGTTGTGGTCACTATCGGTGATGTCGGCAACCGTCCAACCATGGATGCTCGGCGATATGAGTCGTGTTAGCAGCGTGACGTCGATGTTAGACCGTCCCATGCCTACCCTTTCATAAGTAAATATGTTGTTTGGTTTGTTTGCTATCGCAAGATCGAAGTCGTCAATGAGTTGTTCAGTGTGCCTGCCTCTGTCGTTGTTATTCGGACAATGCCATTTCGTAGAGTGTCCGTTGACATCTGCGCCGATTAGGACTCGAGCTTCATCTAGCAAAACATGCCTGAGTCTTTCAACGAAGCTGGGTGTCGGCATGTTGTATTTAAAATATGCCGACACCATTACTATGGAGTCTGCGTCTGCCCCTCTGCCGACTCTAGCAGTTACCACATGTTGACTAGTGTGCTTCATGATTGTGATTACCCTTAACCTGTCATCCAAAATTATTATAGCGGCGCCGGACTCGTTATTGACGAGGATGTTTCTGTACTCTTCAAAGCCATATACCTTAGTGCCTTGGATGACAGGCTCCTGTATCAGGACAACATGAACGTTGGTTGCTGTACAATGGTCTTTAAGTTGTAGACAGGCTGTCCTACACTTGTTAACGTTGTGTTGTATTACGTTAATTTGGTCATTCATTGGAAGCCAAAGTCAGTTCGCCTTAGGAGGCTCTCAACTGCTTTGCTTCTCGCCTTGCACGTGGAGCTGGATGACTTGTGATCCCCTTTGCAATTTGTGCATATCGCTTTGCCCTTCTCAGTGCACACCCTGCTGTCATGCGACTTAGCACAGTGTCTGCATGTCGGCAGTTCTTGGTTACATTTCAGTGCCGTGTGTCCATAACCCTGACAGTGATAACACTGCGTAATATTTTTGTGTACCTTAATTCTGCATCTGGTCATACCGAGGTAGACGGACTTATTTTCGAGCTTGGGGAGCACATGCGCTGGGGTCTCGATGACCCAGTGTGTTGTGCTCCCGTTTCTGGGGCCGAGCTTAAACTTAACATCCATAGACTGGATTTCGTCCTGCGTAAGGCCAAGTTCCGGGTTTTGCAGTAAGAGCTCATCCGCCACCTCGATCTCGCTCAAGTCGCTATCTACATCATAGATAATTATTCTTGGCTGTTTTGGCCCGATAGCTCTTAAGTTGGGAACATTACGTAACACCTCCAACGTGATACTATCATCAGGAATTACTATCAGGGTCTTTCCTGACACTATAGTCTTTGCCCTGGGGTTCGGCAGCTTGTTTTTGACCGTTTGCCAAAGGTCCGTTTTCATTTCGGACACGGTCTTATCATCAGGCGCTTCTACAACGAACCTAGTGTTCGCCTTCGCTTTTCGACATTTTTCAAGGACTTTAGGCTTTTTAGGTTGTGCGTTGGTTTTCGCAGCCACTGGCTTGTCACTCGTTGCTTGTGCATAAGTTGCCTTCTTTTCTTTGGCATCTGTTAGCGGTGCAGCCTGGTTACCATTTGCCTTTACCTTTAGTTGAGCTATCTCATATTTCAACTTTCCGATTTCAGTGGATTTTTCGTTGAGTTTATTTACAAATGTTGTAAGGGACTCTCTAGAGTTGTCTTCCCTTTCGGACAATCGTCCCTGTAAGCGGCCATTTTCGCTGATTAGAAAGTGCATTGTGTTCCTTAGCTCGGCTAGTTTGCCCATCATTCCCTCAGAAGAATGGGCGGTGAGTTTTTTAGTCCTCTCGACAGAGATTGTATGCTCGAGCCATCCGAAAATGGCGTTGAGCGTAGTGCCGATATCCGCTTCGTGGATTTTCTTGGGCGATTTCCCACCGGGCGAGGTAGGACCACTTTTGGTACCCGCTTTTGCCATGTCACCACTATTTTCAGGCGTTGTGTTACTGGCGGTTGCCATCTCGACGTCCTTGGACACAGGCTCATCGTCGCCGCCGCCTCGTAATCTGAGGGGTTCGTCCGTATCATTTATCTCTACATGTCCAGTTTCCATTTTCGTTTGCGCATTACCAGGTGCATGATGATAACGACCGTCGGGACGAGCACCACTCCCGACAGCCGGTTCCTGGGGTCCGATCCTCCCAGTAGGAGGCACCCAAGACGGCATATTATTTTTTCTGGTGTATTTCATATTAGTAGGTTAGGTTGGGGGGCTGCCCCTTGTAGCCCTACACCCTCTGGCCGACGTCGGGCTAGTTCGTCGGTTGCATGCTGGTCATGCCTACAGGTTAGTCCGGTACGGGGTCGGCCTGCCCCGGACGAGGGTTAGTGTGAAAGCCTCTTAGCGACTGGACAAGTCCAGCCGGGCGGGGTCACCGCGGCAAGGTGGGCTTTCGTCGA